TAAATAAGTAAATATTTATTATTATTGTTGTTATTATTTATTTAGATTTATTGGCCCCCCAACTCCAGTGGACTCTGAGTGGTATATAAAACTAGGGAAAACATAAAAACAGCTAAAAACATTGAATCAAACCGACAGCCCAGACTGAAATAATGTAATAGCAAAAATAACAAAACAAAACAGGGGCCATTGAACAAATAATAAATATCAACCCCAGGCCTAGGACCAAAGCCAGGTTTTCAAAGCTTTCCAGAAACCAAGGAGAGATTTATATAGAGAAATTTATATGGACAGAGACAGAGATTGGATTGGATTGGATGACTGGATTGGATTGGATTGGATTGGATTGTAGAGGTAGATATGCTGTACAGTGAGAGATTCCTTTAGATCTTTCCACATTATGAGGTAAGGATGCAGAACTCCTTACAAACAATTGCAAGTTGGTGTTACGAAGATGTCCAAATCTGAAATAATTAAGACTTGTACCAAATTAGGACTATGATAAAACAATTGTTTTGCTTGACTATAAGGAATTTTCTGTCTGGCTGAAGAGTTGCAAAAATTATTTATACTTGTAATGAAGGTTGAAAATCACTTCTTTATATATTTCTTTTCTCTTACTTTACTATATTCTTACTTTTCTTTCTTTTTTTTCTTTATATTTTCTACATTCTTTTTTCCTTTGCACTTTTCACTCTATTCCTCTTTCTTTAAGTTTGTATTACATTTTACTATTGTAATTAAAATCTTAATAAAATTATATATACTGTATATAAAAAAAAGGAATGTTCTATCTGGAAAAAAAATATTTTAGAAATTGTGTGTATGAAGCTGTTTTATAAACGTGAAGGGTACAGTTAATATCTAATGGCCCTTCGTTATTTTACATTTTAAAATCTTTGCTATTTTACATTTTAAAATTTATCTCTTATGAAAACGGACCTTATATGTTTTATTCTCCCTTTTCTCACACAAATGAAAAAACAGGCCCTGGGATACGTTTAAGCAGATATAGTGATTGAAAAATCCAAACAAGAAGTTGTGGTGTTGTTTCGAACTCAAGTATTTCATATGTGTCAGTTTTTAGTTTTATCAGATAATTTGAAGAGGCATTAGGTTTACTACAAAATTTGCAAGAACTTTTAAAAAATAGTAGAATGAAGTGGAAAGAGAACACCTGAAATACCAAAGTAAAACATGGGTTATGTAGTTGGGAAAGTCTGACAGTTACAAACTATTTGAAAGTAAAACACATTAATTTTTCCCTAAGTATTATTTTTCCACTTTCAGTTATTTCAAGTTCCATTTATTCTTTCCAGTAATTGTTGATATATTTTCTAAACTTATGCAGAACATATACATGTTAAAACAGAACCAGAAGATGAAATTGAGACCTTACTACATGAAGTTCTTGACTCACAACTCGGTATGAATGTACCCTAGATCAAATTTTTTAAAATGTATGGATTCTTCCTTTAAAAAAAAATAGCCTAACACTATTTTGATCTATGTAGATAGTTTGTACCACAACTTATTGTTTATTCCTCTGTTATTGTTGACAACCATTTATTTCTGAGATGGAAAAATGTTGTGGTGGCTACTCCACCTGTTTTTGCACAGCATATAGAACTTTCCCATGATAAGAGTAAATGTTTGTCTAAACATGCGTAAACATTGTTATGATCCATTGATTTCTATGAAAATAAGATTAGGCCAAATGAAAAATGAGTTTGCATTATGCTGTGAACTTACCCAATGTGAATGAATGAATGAATAGTACACTAATATGTCAAAATTCACCCTTTTTCCAGACTTTGAAATGCAATTATTAATTTTGTAAAAAAACTCAGGTTAAAGAAAGGTATACACAAAAATGTACAGTGGTGCTTAAAGGTTTATGAACTCTTTTGAATTTTCAGTACTTTTGCATAAATACAACCTAAAATGTGATCTGTTCTCCACATAGGTCCTAAAACTAGATAAAGAGAACCCAATTAAACAAATGAGTCAAAAACATTATACTTGTTCATTTATTTATTGAAAAATGGTCCAAAGCTACATATTTGTGTGTAGCAAAAAGTATGTGAACGTTTGTTTTTAGTAACTGAACTAAACATTTCTGATAACTGTTGCTTAGTCCTGCATATCAGCTTGGAGGAATTTTAGCCCATTCCTCCTTACAGAACAGCTTCAACTCAAGGGTGTTGGTGGGCTTCCTCTCATGAACTGCCCACTTCAGGTCCTTCCACAACATTTCTGTAGGATTAAGATCAGGACTTGGACTTGGCCATTCCAAAACATTAACTTTGTTCTGCTTTAACCATTCTTTGGTCATACAGCTTGTGTATTTTGGGTCATTGTCTTGCTGCATGACCCACTTTCTCTTGAGCTTCAGTTCACAGAAGGATACCCTGACATTTTCCTGTAGAACTTGCTGGTACAATTCAGAATTCCTAGTTCCATCAATGATGGCAAGCCGTCCTGGTCCAGAGGCAGCAAAGCAGGCCGAAATCATGATGCTGCCACCACGTTTCACAGATGGGATAAAGTTCTTCTGCTAGAATGCAGTGTTTACTTTTTGCCAAACATACAGTGGGGCAAAAAAGTATTTAGTCAGCCACCAATTGTGCAAGTTCTCCCACTTAAAAAGATGAGAGAGG